TGAAGCGACAGTTCATCACACCCTCAGGAAGCCCCAAGCACTTCCTACCCTGTAGGGCTGTAGCTCAGGGACCCTCATGGCTCAGGAGTCCCTGCCTCTGTCAGCGGCTGGCTATTTAATGCTCTCTGATCCCCTTAGCTCCATTTCGTCCAGCTGAGGGCCCATTCTGCAGGGGCAGGAACTCTCTTGTTCACGTTCCACCTTCTCGAAGTGGCAGGAAGATGCTGGCCTTGTGAGAAGGACCTGGTGATGGGCCAAAGCAGGTGGTGTGGCTGTGTGGATGCACATGTGCCCAGGGGAGGATTTCAGCAAAGCCCGTGCCCTTGGTGACCCACTATGTGCTTGCAGATGGTCACCCTCTCAGGGTCAGAGTCATGCACTCAGGGGCTGAAAGCAGCATCAGGGACAAAGGAGGGCCCTTCATCATCTATTGATTCAATCGATGCATCAATGAAAGAGTGAGAAATCCTCAAAATAAAAGAAAATGATATTTCCAAAGCTGCTTCCTTCCTTCTGAAGTTGGCAAACAAAAAAGTCATGTATTCATCATTTTATGTCCCCTTTCACACCTGCCCAGTGCTGCTACTGGAACAAGAAACAGCCACAGACCCCATGTAACGGAATGGGCATCTCCTAATTCCAATACAATTTTGTGGTGAACTTACATTTCAATATCATATTATTTTCAAATGTTGTCAAAATAAATTTTTTTTTCAATTTCAACTATTAGAACTCAAAAGTCCTTAATCCCCGAGTTATACCAAACTAGGTGTTGGGCCTTCAAACCACAGATAACTGAGCCCCACGTGTTTGATGTGAGCAGGTCCTGGGCCCCTGGAGATCAGCTGTGCACTGTAGACCTCCGACCTTTGTCACAGAGGCTGATATTTATGGAGGAGCCTGTTCCAACTCCATCTGCTGTGGTCACCAACGGCTCCTCTCTCTTTATTTCTTGTACTGAAGTGCAGCCACTGAAATTCTCTCTGGCTCTGCTGAGATGCAGATCAAACAGTGGACACTCCACAGAATCATTAGGTGCTTTTCCATGATGGTATGCAGTGCCATCAGGAGTGACCACACTCCGTATTCAAACATCATCCCCAGAAGTCATGGTGGGGAGACCAAGCTTCTGCTCACGGGTCACACTGGCAGATTGAGGGAAGGTTTGTGGGGACAAAGCACCCGCTTGCCCTCACTGGTGATTCCATGGCAGTTCCATGAAGCCAGTGAGACCCTCAAATTTGAAACTCTCTCCCAAAAAGTCCCTGGAGAGGCGCTCATGGACCTAGAGCTGCTGTGGCCCCCGAATCTGGTCACCTCTGAAAATTACTCTCTCTCCTTGTCACATCTTAACCATAAGCATGGGGAGAGGCCTGTTGCCAGGGCAACTGGCTCTGGGTGGTAAAGCGGCCACCTACCCTGCCTACAGGCCCCACTGCGCTCTTTGGATCTCGCAGAACACAGGTGACCAAGCTCTGAGATTCCTCTCCACCCTGGTCTCCAAGCTTTTGAGTTTGAAAACTCACCAGAGTCCGCTTTTGCTCTGCTCCTTTGAGAGGCGAATCATTGTAGAAGACACTTTCAGCTTTACAGCCTAGGAGTATCTTGCTGGGGACCTGAGAGTTGTCCCCCCTGAGAGGGGACCCTCAAGGAAAACTGGCCTCTACAGGAGGGAAAGAGCCTCAGGCTATAAAACTGCCCCTCCCATGAGGACCAGAGAATATTCAGCATCAGAAGAAGGCATGGTGTAGGACTCCGTCCCATGCTACTCTTTCTTCCAGTGAAATTGAGCTCAGGCTAAGTTCTGGTCTCTCTCCCCATCACAATAGTCTGGAATGGTTTGATTCTCTGTGGTGCAAATTTTGCTTTAATCTGTTCATGTTTCCACACCTTCGAAGTGTGGGATGGAGTCCACTCCCACCCTGATATTCTGCTTTAGGTCAGAGGAGTCCAAACCTGGGAGACTCCATGCACCTCACAGGGCACTTGTTAAAGTCCTGACCCTCCAGAGCCCACCTCCAGCCTTAGGGACCAGTCTTCTCCATTGGATCCTGTCATCTGCATTCTCACTCAACATCCTCAGACCATTTTGTGTGTCTATTTGCGTGGTCAGGAAAGCCTGCGAAGTTTAACTCCTCAAACCCCAAAGAGTCTGGAGGCAGGGCACCTACTTAGCAATTTCTCCCAGGCTCTGCTCAAGGCAAAACTCACCAGCCACAGCCTCAGGAAATTCTTCCAAAGAACAAAAGATAATCCTGCTGTCCT